TCATGGGTATATTTGCTAACAATAAATTTTTCAGACTCCGCTAACCTCCCACAATAAACTTGCCATTGCACTTTCGGTCATAATATGCAACTGTAACTACCAATAATTAGACTTTTTGATGATGACTCAAAATTTCCTCTCATGGTAACAAGTTTAGCTTCCTCACCACTTTCTCTTTGTTGTCAAATAAAATCTTACGCGCAGTCCGATCCATCAGTAAAAACATGAGTTGATTCACTACTACTGGCAATTGCCACCTCTGAACTTGCATAAAGGCCCATATTGTTTTCTTCGTCACAAACTACACCTTCTGTATAATCTGTATTATAGGAATCTCTACATCTGCGGAAACATATATGGGGTCCTCCTTGTCAACATTTTCATTTTGCCCCACATGACCAACCTCTTCTACGTGTCCCCCTCACCACCCAAATCACCACCTACTCTTGATTTTTCAACTAAAAATCAATGCCCTGTAGTAAAAATTAAAACCAGCATTCCTCCACAAACTTTCTCATTATCCCCTTCCTTTGAACTAACTTCCAATGGTTTATCTACAAAAGAAACCCTTAAAATCAGCCTTGAACCATTATCGCCCACATTAATCATATATAACTTCACACCTTCATCAGACTTAATATAGTAGAAGGTACCTTATAATGTTCAAGAACTCTGCTTAAACATACGTTACAACTATATCATTACGTGAGCAACTCAAATCACGTCTTCTAATTATTTCATCAATCAACTCATCAAAACTAACATTTGTGCTCACAACAATTATATAACTTCTTTGCTCTTCCTAATCCACTTCCAGCAACTTTATTGCTCCACCCACCACCAAAATATTCAACACCAAAACAACTTATCCCATGTCTAATAATACTAAAGTACTTATAAGGCAAGAAAAAAAAACTATTAACTAATATATTAGGGTTGACAGATTTTAAAAAGCATCTGCAGAGTCGCTTAACGATCTGTGTATATGCTTAAACAATCTGGTGTATCGCTTAAGCGATCTAGTATATCGCTTACTGGATCACTTAAGTGATCTAGTATTTAAGCAATCCACTGGATCGAGCGCTCAGTGGATTGCTTAAATACTAGATCACTTAAGCGATCTAGTTATATCGCTTAAGCGATCTAGATAGATAAGCTGTCGCTTAATGATCTTTTACCATATACCTGATCGCATAAGCGATCTGCTACCATATACCAGACTTATAGCAGATCGCTTATGCTGCATTATACCAGACATACCAGATCGCTTAAGCGATCCATCAGATCCATAATACATTTTTAGTTATCTCCACCTACAATCGGTGCTACACCCCCCATCTACCCACAATGCAAGAAAATATTCAACAAATTTCACTCATTTCAACTTGCATTACTTCAAACATAACCTAACAACTAAATCAAATCATAACCCAAACCCAATCCATTATTAAATCTTTGTAAATCAAATATAAATTCAAAGAGGAGATACACATACCTGGACAAAATGTTAGAGGAGGGGCGAATTTGTGGTGAAGAAAATTTTAATAGCGAAGGAAGATGAAGATGTAAAGGAATGAGGAAGAAGAAGATGTAGAGAAGATGCAGACGAAGAAGAATATGTAGACGAGCTTGGAAGAAATAGCAACACGGGAGGGATGCGTTATGGCAGGAGAAAAAGAAGAGGTGTTTGGGTTTGTTTGTAGAATTTCGGGTTTTTGGGGACATTTATATTTTTTAAAAGATTACACAATACTTCATTAATCCTAATAACCATTAATCATGTATATTAACCTTAATCAATAATAAGACTTTTAGTTAACACTTTAAAACTCCATAACCTTTTGATTAAATTTGAACTTTATATGGCATTTTAATAAATGCCCTGATCTGATGGACTCTAAGTACATAGTGACAAACGACTCCTTTTATAAGGCTTGCAAGATGAAGGATGTCCCTTCAAAAAGGATATGACCTACCTATAAAGATTGGCTTGCCCCATCCAAAACCCGTATCATGTCATATGCGAGCATCTAGGCCCAACTAACTACCCTTAGACTTGAAGATGGCACCTCCTTGACTAAGAGTCATTCGATCATCATACTATTGTTCCACATAGCTAATGTTGACCTCAAATACTCATCATCTCCACTTTATTGCTTGATGAATAATTTTATAGTGTAAATCAACGGTTTTGATGTATATCACCTGTCAAAGCATTACTATAGTAGTAAATATTACATTTTAAGATATTCAAATGAAGTGGAGGACTTAATCTTGGTCATCCATTTGTTGGTATGTATAAATTCGTTATTTGATCACTAGACAGCCAGCCTGCCTTGCACGTACAACGCCTACATGTGCTACTAAATCTAACACCATGATCTTTTTTTAGTTTCTTTGAGGGGTTGATTTGATCAAGTGATAATTTAAGTAAAAGTTGACTGTGATACATGTAATATTAATGGAAGTAGGGTTGTGATATATCTAAACCAAATGATATCTTGATTTTCATCCTCTACAAAAGCAATGAATAAGAAGAAATATCACTTGTTGAATAATCAATACTTGGAATGAGCTGCCTTATCTTCAAGCTCGGCATGAACTCATCTCAACAACACAACTTGTTTCAGCCTCCATGAACAAAACTCCCTCTGCATTGCACTCAGTCTACAGCCTCCCTTTTCATACCTTGCCAACCTGCCAGCAAAAGGGTAGAATGCCACAAGGGCTTTGCTCAAAGACTCCTTAGCGGATTTATCAGATGCCAACGGCGGCGGCCGTCGATGAAGTACACTAGAAGGGCGTGACCTTTGTGTCTGTCAACATGTACAAGTTGGAGATCCATAGAGAATGGTTGGGAGTATCTTGAGCAAGGCGTACAAGGTACAACTGATCATTTGTGTTAGTGGAAGTGTTACTATTTAAAAATGTTTATCCTCCATATACAACATATTCCCTATAACTAATAACCCTACATATTTTGACATATCATCTTCCCTAATTATTAAATTTATCTCTAAATTAAAACCACCCAATCACATTAAAACCGACAGTTTGTACAAAAAATTGTACAATCAGTTAGAATCACCTATGGGCTAATAGTTTTTTTTTTTTTTGGTAACCAAGATGTCCGGTGATAATCCTATTTTTTTATAGCGATTTGTATTGAATTTCAGTAGGATTTAGGATATTTTTTTATACATTTTGGCCATAATTTATACTTAATTCTATTATTTTACTTTGCAAGCCTAAAACAATGTTTAAGGCATAAAATGGTGGTTTTAGAGTAAATGGCGTAAAGTGAGTTCTACAACTCGGAATGACCTGAATTTAGAAGCTAAGAAAGCTAAAAAGCAGGGCTACAACTTTCATATTTTGGGTTTTTCTAATTCTGACTGGAAGGATGAAAACTTGGCTTGAAGTTGTGCAAAACATGTTGCGAACTGAAGAAAAATGTCTTTGGACGTGCTTCAGTATTTTGGCCATAACTTGAGTTGCTGATCTCAATTGGGATTATTCTTGAATGAGTAACAAGATGATTGAAATGGCTATAATTCTTATGTTTGTCACTTTTTCCAGTTTCAGACGTTATCATGCTCAATTTTGGCCTGAAAGATCTTTGCTGCGGCAAAGAAAATTTTCACCGTGACGAAATTGCTGTCAAATGTGTAAAAATAAAACGCCATGTTTTAGTTTTACTAGGGCTTGGTCCTAAGTAAGAAGGGCATAAATTGACTCAAAAGGAAGGGAAAAGGGTTTTGGTTGGTCATTTGGGAGGCAGCTCTTAGAAGGAAAAGATTATTGAAGATTTGGGCTTCAACTTATAGAAGATTTCTCCATCTTTTGCTTGTTTTTCAATAATGAACCTGATTCACTTGTTTTGTTATTTTGTTTTGTTTTGAGTATGAATTGAGTTATTTAGCTAAGGTTTGATGTAAGCTTGATACAATATTCAAATTTGTATGAATTGATTTATTTTGAGTTTCAATTTCATGATTGATGTTTATCTCTTTACTAATGACTTTTGGATGTTTGATCACCATTTAAATTTGTGTTGTTCACATAAGACTGAGAAGTGATTTGTGATATGTACCTCTTAGGATATATCATAGATTGAGCAAAAACTAGAGATAAATAACGCGAATATAAAATCTGATAGAATTCCACAAAAGCTTAAGAGACCTTGAACTATTAAACTTCAATTTTTGGGTTTGAAAGGTTAATAGGAATAGGTGGGTGGTATAACCTAGAAGGAATACTAAACTACTTAGAGAATTCAATTTTCAATTAAGGAATTGACTTTGGTAATAGAATTTATGAATTGGGTTAACTTATCTAGGAGAAATCACACACCACGCCTTTTTTTTTTTTTTTTTTTTTTTAGCATTGTGTGATTCACTTGGATTTTGGGTTTTGTCTTAATCTCATTTTTGTCATTTATTAGTTGTTAATTTGTATTTGATTATTAATATTCCATTAATCCATATTTTTGCTTCAATTAGACATAACTAGAGAATCGATACTTATAATACTGTCTTATGTGAATAATATTCTACTTATCACTTTATTACTTTGGGGTGAGGGGAGAATAGGGTGATTTTGAAATAACAGTTTAACACTTCTCATGTAGTATTAAAAAAAAAAAATTCCAACTCCTATGAAGGGGGGGGGGGGGGGGGGGGGGGGGGGGGGGGGGGGGGGGGGGGGGGGGAGGGGGGGGTGGGACGTTTTATGTAATTCTCATTTTAATTAAAATTTCAAACTCATTTTCTTTTTAGACGGCATTCTTGACTGCTTTTCCATTTTTAATTTTATTATTATTATTTTTAACTCTTTGGGTCTAAGTGATATAAATATTTATCTTAAAATATCCGCGACTAGATGAGATAGAAATATTACATGTATTTAGGAAAAAATCTACTTTGTTTTACATATAAATGTATTCCGTAATGCAGATTAACAGACCAAGCTAAGGTCAGGGAACCGTCCACCCTCAGACCACAAGGACAAGATATGGAAGGCAGGCATCACAGTGGGAAAATTTTTCTAAATATGATTCCTATGGGGAGTAGCTTCCTTGTGTATGGTTTGGTCGTATCAACAGCAGAAACTTTTTTCCCTGAGCAGGGAGAGGAGATGCAGCTTTCAAGCTTCTTTACTATTTTATTTGTCTTTCAATCCGTATCAAGTAAAAGTATCTCCTATTTGTTTAGCTATTTTTTAGATTCAGAATGGGTTCCAGAAGATAAACGGAAAGAAGCCAAATTAGTGAGAATTTGGTTTGGAATGGTGCTAACTATATTTTGTTGTTTTGTTGCCGAGCGGGTTGAGGTTCACCGGTTGATAGTAGTTAACAAGGAAGGATTCCTTGACAAGCCAGATCAAATTATACCAATGAGCATCTTCTGGCTTGCCCCACAGTACTGCCTGTTAGGTCTTACGAAAGGAATTGCTGAAGATGGACTGGAGGAATTCTTAATTGATAATTTCCCTATATCATGGAAGGGCTATGTATCAGCAATTACTAAGTTCGTGATTGGAATTGGAAATCTCCTTAGCATAATATCTGTTCATGCATATGGAAGTTTGTTTGCTGACACCCTGAACCGGAGTCGCCTGGATTAGTACTACAAGAGGATAACAATTTTTAGCTTCGTCAATATGTGCTACTATTGGTGCATATATATCTTCTATACAAAGTATCACACAGCAAATGTAGTAGCAGATGACGAAAATTTGGTGTAGTTTATTTTTAAAAGTATCATGTAGGCGCTTAAATTTTATTTTCAGGTAGCATTTGGTATACCATATTAGACTAGAATAGTTTGTAGGGATTGAATTGATTGAATGAAATTCGATTGTATTGCATTGAATTGAATGAGAATTTATTTTATTGGATTACATTGAATTCGATTGAACTAAAGTCTTAAGACAAAATACAATAATACTTATACTTACAAAGAAATCTATACAAAGTGAGATGGTAAAAAATGAATAGAAGAGTGAAACAAAAAGTCAAACTCATTAAATTCACTCTTCTATTTATTTTTTACTACATCACTTTGTATGAAGATCTTTATAAAATTTGTTTATAAGTGTAGTATTACTTGACAAAATAATATATAGTGATTATATTATAAATGATTGGATAATACATAGTAGTGTATTGTCTGCCGGGCCGACCGACATTTTAATTTTGTAAAAGGCTTAAAGTCACTAAGCAAATGAAAGCCCAAAGGCCCAAAACTTATAAAACAAAAGGAAATTGAAATTAAAAGAAGAAAGAAAGAAAAAAGGAGGTAGGCTTCGAATTAGAGGTAAAAGAAAGTGTTAAATAAACCGTTAAACTACCTAGAGTAGTGACCGATATTCAAAGCTCTTGTTTTATCTTAGAATGTTATGTATATTTTTAATTCAAAGCTCTTGTTTTATCTTAGGATGTTATGTATATTTTTGGGAATCCAAAAATTGTATGTAGCCAATATATATAAAACGGCGATGAGTTCAAATACGCCTAATGATTGGCGCAAATTTCCAGGCTAGTCTCATATCAAAATGTTGTAAGAATTCTATATTGCTATTAGATGCGTGTGTGTACACGGTACCAGTTTACGGGTATATGAGACACTTTTTGGTAGTTGATTGAGGTGGTTGGTTGATTGAGATGGACTAGAGGCCTTACGGGGTGCTTTAATTTGATGAATAATACTACATATATAAACTGATGTATTTTAGTGTAATCGGATGATTTTTAATAAAAGATAAATTAAATAATCAAAATAAATTACGTGTTAAACATGCAAAATAGTCAAATCAGTTTGTATTAAAGAGTTTGAATATATAAAATTGCTATAGTTTGATTAGTTGAATCCTATGACATGTTTTGATAAATTGTAAAATTTGGGATTGTCCAAATTATGAGGGAGATTTTCCTCCCAAAATAAACAAATAAATAGGTTAATTACATTTGTTCCAGAGCTATCAATTTTTACATAATAGAAAACCAAAGACTTGACGTTACTAAATTTTGGGTGTGACATTGTGTTTGCTGTAATGCTGGACTAGAATGAGATTATATTTAATTAAGCTAAAATTTTATCAACAAGCTAATTTTTTAAAATCAATTTAAATAACCAATTGAATAAATTATAAGATTTACTTCTAATTTTAAGTTTAATATTTATTTATATGTTTTTATAATATAAATTTTATTTAATTTTGAAATATTAGATAAATTGTTTATCTATTTAGGTATCTAAAATCATTATAATCAAACTGCTTCTTGGGTACAGATATGATAATTAAAATGATACATTTACATGAGTGACTGTTTTCTTCCTCGAAAATCCAGTGAATAATTACTGTACATTTTCAATTAATAATATTAATGAATTCGATTTTTGTCCTTATATAAGCAACAGAAAAATATTAAACAGTAAGGAATACTTGTATAAATAAGACTGAAATATCTTTGGATAAGATGAAATATTTCTTCAAGTGTCAATTTTTGTAATAAGTTGAAAAAAGATGTGTTTCTCATAGTTAATATGATTGCTTATTGTAATATTAGTCTCTCAAAAGAACTGGTATACAAAGTTCGATGTATTTAATACAATGGATCAAAGATAGAATGCATAAAACTAAAGACAAAATGAGTAGAATAGTATCAGGTTTTACTGATTAAGTAAACCATTTCCTGCATCATAAATGTTTATTAAATATCAAAGTTTCAAAGTTTTTTGCATACTACTCCCTATATTAAGTATTAATATTAGTTTAGAAAAACATAAACATGAATAACTATAATTAATACAAATACACAAAGAAGTATTGTGACAACCAAAGAAGTATCGTGACAACAACGCTTACAACATAAAACATTACTTAAATCTTAAGAACAAAGATGAAGATAAGATCCCTTTCTTGTCCATCCTTCAATGTCAAAATCATAAAACAACTTCTTAAAGAGCTCCATGTGGTGGGTCTCTAAACATAGGACCAATGACAAACTCTTATCACTATATGGGCCTGGTAAAATAAAGTTGCCCCTTCAATGGGAGACTAGCCCGGCCTACAAATATGGGCGGCCCCATCCAAATCAGCCTCATAAATGGGCATATGACTCAATAGTGATCTTTAGGTTTGGAGATTGAAAGAGTGAGCCCTTTGGTTAGGTTGTGGGTCATCTCATTATGGTTTTGTTCCAAATAAGCAAGAGCTGATTTCAAGTATTACATCCCTCCCTTCAATCTTTATGAATTTTTTTCTATAGTTGAAATCAATCGTTCTGATGGATTTCACCTGAAAGGCAAATTAGAGAAGTTATAAATATTACATTACCAAGGTAACCTGATGGAGGGAGGATTCAATTTGTCGTCCATCTGTCGGTATGTGTAACGGTCGGTTGATCATCGGATAATCCAATGTCTTGCACAAACAACGCCAAATATGGGCACGCTAGGATCTCCTAAGTACTGCACTTAGCCCCATAATCTTTCTTTAATTTGCTTAGGGTATGATTTGATCGCTTGATATTTTGAGGCTAGCAACGGAAGTAGAACGGACTACTGCACTGTTTGTATTTCTTGAGATTTCATAGAAGGAGATGAATGATATTCGGTGTGGTCAAACGTAGGATTAGGTGGGGTCATTTCATGAAGTATTGTTGGATCAAGAACGGTGCGATGCTAATTGGTAAACCACGTGCACAACCAGCCCATGTGTTGATGAAAGGATTCCGGAGGTCACATCAACGCATGATGCAATCCAATTCGAGCACACTCCACATTGAAAAAAGTTAATAACAAAAATACAAACAAACAAATCATCAAAATTATCGATTTAATTATTTATCTAAGCTTAGGCATCTAGAACTATTTCACACACAGTAGGTAGATTTTCAGAGGTATTGTCCACATAATTTGTCCTGAAAAGGTAATTTAGGTGATTGAATGTCCTTGTATTACATAAGGACCAAACACCTCATCTCTAACTGATGTAAGACTTTGACACTAACACATTTAAACACATCAGTTTGTATAGATTGCTTTATCAATAATACTATACTATAAGAATCTTACAAAGATTTCATATAAAGTGAAGTGGCAAAAAATGAATAGAAGAGTGAAACAAAAAGTCAAACTCATTAAATTCACTCTTCTATTCATTTTTTGCCACATCATTTGTGTAGAAAATCTTTGTAAATTTTTTTGTAAATGTAGTATTACTGTTAGTTTATATATGTAGTGCTTTCTTTTTACAAATCTAATTTTCATATCAACTAAAAATTTCTCTAATTCTGTTATATAGTATTGCTACACATCTTAACTTAATATTCTAGAATTTTCTTATTTCGAGCTGTTTATCTTCTGATCTTTTCATGAACGTTTATGTTAAATTATAATATAAAAATGCGATAATAATAGTGCAGCACTCACTTACAACTTTTTATATAACTCTGATGTGGTAGGTCACGATTGGTCAGCTCGTAGTGAGTCTCATTTATCCAAATACAAACTGATCAATCATGAGTTACTCATCTTCAACTGCACAACTGTTTCAGCCTCCATGAACAAAGCCCCCTCTCCATTACACTCAATCTGCAGCCTCCCATTTTCATCCCTTCCCAACCTCCCAGCCAAAGGGTAGAACCCCACAAGAGCTTTGCTCAAAGCCTCCTTAAGCAGAGAAGTGTCAGAAATAGATTTATCCGACGCCGGCAGCGGCGGCCGCCGGTAGAAGTACAAGAGAGGAACGTGACCGTCATGTGGGTGCAACCTGCCAAGTTAGAGATCCATATAAAATGATTGGGAGTTTTTTGAGCAGAGCGTACAACACTTGTCTTCTTTATGTGATCTCACAGATAATTAATTCTCTTCTTGATTGCTTGTATTCACTGGCTTAAAATTGACTAGGATTTGAGCTTATTAATGGCGCAGGTTAAAACAATGTAGATTCAATATTGTCTCCCACAATTATTTGAAAAATTGGTCAAACTAATTAAAAAAAACCAACAAATCTTAAGTATTATTAACAGAACAATCAAGATTATGTGACAGTCGAGACGACTTCTATGATAATAATCATTTGTTGATACGGAATCACATGATTTTTCAGAGAAGGAGTTGGTCCCATGAAAAAATATATAAGTGCAACATGCTAAAGAGATGAACAATCCACTCTAGATTTTATTTATTTTAATTTTTCTTGTATGAAGAGTGAGGTTACAATGTTTTTTCATGGAGCCAACTCCTCACTGTAAAAGAATTCTTGAAGAGTTCTATGTGAGATTCTCCAAGCATATAATCAAGACAAACTCTTCATCAGATGGATTTGGCAAATAAATGATGTCCTTCCAAAAATAATAGTCGCCCCATATAGATTGGCTTGCCCATCCAAAATCCGTATCATATACAGGCCTTCGGAGCCAACTCACTATCTTGAGGTTAGGAAAATTAGAAGTGGGGGCTCTTTGCTTGAGAGTCGTCTGATCACGATCATGTTGTTTCAAATAAGCTAATGCTGACCTCAAAAACTCATGTTCACTGCTTTAATGCTTCATGAATATATTCCACAGTGTAAATCAACGGATTTGATTGAATATCACCTACTAAGACAACTGATGTAGCACTGAATAATACATTCCAAGTAGTTGAATGGGAGTGGAGGATTCATCTTGATCGTCCATTTGGGGTATATAAACTTGGTCCTTGATCATCAGACAATCCACGTGCCTTGCATACGCAACGCCATATCTGTGCTGCTAAAATCTCATAAGTGGTATAGTGACACCATGAT